TTGATTATACATAAGATGATTGTCTTTGTGATAATCGTCTGGTATGCTACTATTTGTTATGCTTTATGTGCTAGTAGGCTATGCTATTATGTGGTAGTGGTATGAGGGGTATGCCAAACCTCATTACCGGTCGAAAGGACCGAAGGGGTAGGCCAACACAGATATATGCTAGGCAGTATGTGACTTATATGTTTATGTACTAGGATGATATATGGTAGTGATAGGGGGTGAAATAGTCCCCGTTACCGGTTGAAAGAGACTGAAGGGGTAGGCTAACACGCATATATGCTAGGCAGTTACTGTTTGAAAGAGATCAAAGGGGTAGGCCAGCACCCAAATATGATAGGCAGTTACCGGTTGAAAGAGGCCGAATGGGTAGGCCGACACCCATATATGCTAGGCAGTATGTGTATTGTATGATATGTGGTATGATGGGGGAACTCACTAAGCGATGTGCTTATGGTTTACAATTTTGGTTTCAGGTACCTCTTCTTTGAAGGGAAATGACCCGGCTTGACTGCAGCGCATCACACATGATTTCCATACTATGAGATTCTTGGGATTTGTACTCTGATGTTGTTTTATCTTGATATGTTTTGACTATTGATTCATCGGTTTTGATATGAGATGTTATTATGGATGTTTTAGACACATGGTTTTATAATTAATAAATTAAAAATAAAATTTTTGGTCTTAAATTGTGGGGTGTTACATATTTTGAGAAAGCAGTCAAAGCACATCTAATTAAACACCACCTAAAAACAAACTTTGTTTTAGAATTGTTTGAACGCCTTAAATTGTTAAATGATTTATTATGATTTGTGACTAGCAACGATGTCGATGTCAATGTTTTGGTCCCATATTATGAATGGTAAAATTCTAGTCACTTATGTATTAAGAAAACCAACCACTATTTAAACCTAACAATTTGTTTTAGCAGTGTAAAGCTCTATTTTGATGTGAAAATAGTCTATGGTCTATTATTCTTCCCCTTAGATAATATAGAGCAGGATTGTCCTACATCCTACTACCGGGGACGTTGCAACGAGGACCTCACAATCATAAAAACAATAGTAATTTCACATGTACCAATTGTATTGTTCACCTCTATTGCATTGCTAGTCATTTGAATTATAAACCATATAACCCTTAAATTGAATGTGATAAATGTCATGATATCGCCAAATTCTAAATCTAACAACTCAACTCTATATTTAACATGTACATCCTCTACCATTAACGATCATTGTCCTACAAACCATATAGAGTGTGCCAAATCAATAAATGTCATCCATTCAAATCAACAAATGGCATCCATTAGTGGACTTTGCAGTTTTTGATTTGATATAACAAAGTGTCAGTATAGTGACAATTATCGCAAGCAATAATATCGTCGACGAGCATTTTTAGACTTTTTTTAAAAGTAAAAAACACTTGATTCTTTTTTAGAAAATTCCAAACCCGATCGGCGACAATAATTATCGCAACACTGATTGCACAATATGTCCTATTAGATGAAAAATGCAAATGCTCTACTTGATGACATTTGTTGATTTGGCACTAACTATAGGGTTTATGGGATAGTAATCGTTGATGGTAGAAGTTGCTCAAGTTGAATATATGGTTGAGTTGTTAGACGATATCATAACATTTCTCTCGGTCAATTCAAGGGTCATAGGGTTTACAATCCATACTACGAGCAATGCAATGGAGGCGGACAATACGGTGCCTATATTTGAAATGACTGCCGTTTTTATAATCGTGAGGTCCTCGTTGCAACAGCCACTTCGATCCTCTTCGGTAGTAGGATGTAGGACAATCCCGCTCCATATCGTTGAATGGGGAGAATAAAAGACAGTATATTATATTACTAAATAGTTTTTAAAGACCATTTTCAAACCAAAGTAGAAATTTATATTTTACTAAAACAAACTGTTAGGCATCCTTGTGAAAATCGTGATCCTGATCCTACGATCCTAAATATGAAAAATGATATGAATCGTAAGATCGAGATCCGATCAGATCCTACATTCCCTTGATTTTTTTTTTTTTTTTGTTTTTTTTTGCAAATAAATATTTTTACCATTTATATCTTTTACTCTTACCAATTTACCATTTAATATTTTGTATTGTGACTTATAACTAAAATTTTGAAGTTTTTATAATTTTTGAACGAAAAATTAAATGTTTGAAATATTTTTCATGTTTTAAAGTTAAAAATTAAAGTTATGTTTTATTTTGTGAGATCTTAGGATCTCGATTCCGATCATGCAAACCCAAAAACAATTTTACATAGGATCCCGATATTGACAACCTGGTATAAACAATGCTAAAACAAAGTTTGTTTTGTAGCGGGTGTTTGGACGTGTTATATCAAAATGATCGTTGTCACTTGAAGACTCAAAATCAAGATAACCATGTATATAAAGCTAGGAATAGTTTAATAAGGCTAATGTTATTTGATGATCCAAATTTTAATATTTTAACGTTAAATAATTAGAAAATCATAATCAAATAAGTTTACTCGAATACTCGAAACTAATTATTATGACTTCAGTCCTTAGTCCTTAATCAATTCAAATCTAGTTTAAAAAAACTTTAAAATATAAGTGTAGTGTGCTTCATCATGGAAAAATGTCTTTTAATGTCAACCATCATATCTTCTTTAGATTATAACAATAATAACTTAGAAAAATCCCAAATACAACCTTGTACTTGAAAAACATGAATATTTTAATTTTACCTTAATTATTTCAATTATAACTTAGAAAAATGTCTTTTTTTTTAAAAAAAAAAAAACTTAAAAAGTAAAAATAAGCGTTATGATTAAAAATCTTGAGTTTTTGTATATACAACGTTTTACCTTAATTATTTCAATTAATATGGTTGTTCTAATATAATGTGTCATGTATAATGATGATAAAAGTAAAATAGCCTGAAGTTAATTTGAGATTTTTCTAAGTGGGTGAGATGATGAAGTCAACTCTTTTTTTTTCTTCCTGTTTTGGCATTTCTATGGAATGCAAACTTTCTTTTGTTCAATGGGTTTTAAGTTATGGTGAACTCCCCAACGGCCCATATGTGGTAGGGTATTAAGAATGGACTTAAGAAGGTAATTAACTTTTTAGTTTTTCATATTTGGATATTTTTTTTTGTACACATCTAGGTAAAGAATTTTTTAGAAGTGTTTACATATGATAATTATGACCGGCTGTAGCAGATTATATCCAGTCATAATATTCATATGTGAACACTTCCAAAAAATTTGTTACCTAGATGTGTACAAAAAAGATAGTTACCCAGATGTGAACAAACCGAAAAGGTAACAGTAAAATACACGAATGGTCCCTATAGTTTGGGTAATTTATGCGTTTGGTCCATAACTTATTTTTTTTAACTTAGATGATCCCTACTATTTCTCAAAAAACTATTGTACCCTTTTTAACTTTTTTAATTTTTCTTATTTATGTATTTATTTTTTATATATTAAAAAAATTAATAGACTCCACATATCTGCATCTCCTCACCCTAAACCTGAAATCACATTTGAGAAATTTAAATTGGGTCCCACAATAATCTTTTAAGGTAGGACAAAGACCAAATGCACAACAAAAATAAATAGTAGGGATTATTTAAGTTAAAAAATAAGTTATGGACTAAACGGACAAATTACCCAAACTACAGGGACCATTCGTGTATTTTACTGTTACCTTTTCGGTTTGTTCACATCTGGGTAACTATCTTTTTTTGTATACATGTAGGTAACAAACTTTTTGGAAGTGTTCACATATGACCATTATAATTGGTTATGACCGGATGTAATCTGTTACAACCGGTCATAATGGTCATATGTAAATATTTCCAAAAAGTTCGTTACCTAGATATGTACAAAAAAAAATAGTTACCCATATGTGAACAAACCGAAAAGTTAATTACCTTATTAAATCCATTTCCCTGTACTAAAACAACACTGATTTCAATGAATAAATTTTTTAAACTTTTGTGTCGCCCAAAAGGTGGAACATAATGGGACAAGATTGTATGTAATGTTAATCCTCGTTCATACTTTTAATAAAATGTTAATCCTCATTCCTACTTTTAACAAAACGTTAATACTCATCCTCGTATGTGCATAAAACGTAAATATTGTTCTCATTCTACAAATGCTTGTATAATGCAAGTCATCTAAAAGTGGGTCCCTAGCAGCATCAGAAGTTGCAAATGGTATCGTTCAACCTAAGAGGGTTCACAAACAAAATGTGTAGATCTAGAAGTAGCGTAATGAGTGTGTTCGTAAGCATTTTCTTTTTTTAATTAAGTCACTAAACTCATATTTATGCACATGATAACCTGATATCTCAGTTACTAAATTATCCAAATAAACAATTTTGAGTTTACAAATCTAATTAGCAAAGAAATTATTGTTGGGTGTTGATGGCAATTATGTCCGAAAGTTTGATGACAATTATGGTTATATGCTCTATCAACCTATCAGATTTTGGAGCTATTTATGGTTTTGCTTCAATATTCATCTATTTTCCATGCAATTTGTTATGTTCTAAGTTTCAGTGACAACAACGGTTAATGTAGACGGAGTGTTTGATGTTTTAGTTGGTAGAGATGCAAATGGGTGTGGATAGGAAAATTCTATATAGGGTTATCAAAAATTTGGCAAAAAGAGCCTAAAATTATAATTGACTATATAATAGTTAAATTAATAATCTAATAACTCATGTATATAACCAAAAAGGCAAAAATCCCTATTTCATAGACTTACAACAAAAAACAAAAAATCAAAAACAAAAAATATAGCCAAATTGGATATTATTATCCACCCGTTTTTTTTTATTTTTTTATTTTTTTTTTATCATTTTCCTATGTATCCATGAAAGACTTTGTTACGTCTTAGTATGCTTTATTTAGGTTTCTATCCAACTCTTCGATTTCATTATCCATTTTTGCAGACATTGATGGCTAAACATGTGCAAAATAAGAGATATATGAATCTAGAAAACCAAGCAACTACGGTGAGTGATATTCCGAGCCGCCCATTGCTGACCCTGGTCCACCACCCAAAAGCTTCCTGTTTGACTAAGTACGGAAAGCGACACAAATTAGTAGCACATGGTTTTCACTTGTCCTTCATTCTCTCCCACAAATTCTTAATTTTATACTTTGTTAAAAGCTATTTAGATATTTTTATTAAATTATATAAGAGAAAATACACGACATATATATATATATGTATATATATATATATATATATATATATATATATATATATATATATATATATATATATATATATATATATATATATATATATATACACACACACACACACACACACACACACACACACACACACACTCACACACACACATTCCGTAGAGGGATCTTTACGGGCTCCGTAAAATCATAAAATCACCGCGGAATGATCGATTTTGTACGGACCGCAGAGGGCTCCGCAGAGCTACCTCTACGGACACATTAAACCTTTCGTAGAATGTTTGGTTCAACATATTATTAAATCCTCCGTGTAGTATATTGACAAGGTCTCCGCGGATTGGTTAACCTCTCTGCGGATGTTTTTTTTGGTCTTTTGTGACTTTTTTTGTCATTTAAAAGAAACTTTTTGTTATGTTTAAAAAAAGATTAGTTTTAGGGTGATTTTTTTTTTCAGAGAAAATATGAGTTTTGTTATTTTATGTACGGGGGGTTTTTGCAGTTTAGTAATGGAATCAACACCTACGTTAGACAAAGTTTAACAACTAAGGTTCACTACTTCCGCTTATTTTTGACAGTGGAATATTGTTTGATTTGACTAAAACTAAGGCTAATACGTTCAATAGTAATATATCATTGTCATTTCAACACCCGGTTTATGAATATGTTATGAATATTGTAGACGAAGCAGATGTTCATCAACTCAGAAACGTAATCTCTGAAACGAAGGAGATTGTGCATTTGTATTTGGAGGCGTTTAAAGGATGGGTCGAACAAACAAAAGAGGTTGACAAGATTTTATCATACAATATTGACAACATTGTATACAATGTTGACAACATTGTATCTGATAATGATGAAGAGAGTTCACGAGAAAAAACTGCGACAGTGAATACGATGGAAGAAGAATATTTATATGAGTTTGGAAGACTAGATGATTTGTAAGACGATGAAGAATCAAATGAAGGATGTTCAGAAGATGAGTGCACACATGAAAAAAAAAAAAAGCTTCAGACATCTTTTATGGTATGTCTCCCATACCTGATTGTCCTGATCTGATTCTTCAACCTGGACCATTTCACAGTTTAGGTCCAAATGATGATATGTTTTTCCGTCAAACGTATGATAACAAACAACAACTAATATTTGTTTTGAGTCATAAAGCAACCAAAGAAAGGTTACAGTTTAAGACCAAACATTCTAACAAAAATCATTACGAGGTATATTGTGAAATTGAGAAGTGTAGCTGTCTTTTGTATGCAAAACGCCTTGATTCGGCTGACGAATTTGAATTTAGGACTTTCAATACATGAACACATTTTCATCATTACAGATACACCCGAATCATAAGCATGCAAATAAAAAAAAAGTCATGGGTACTATATTGCATGAGATTATGGGAAAAACTCGTTCAAAGGTTTGGATGCCTAATGAAATATCAAGGGATTTGAATGCTTTCCTAGAAATCAATGTAAGTTACAAACAAGCTTGGCGTGCAAAAAAATATGCAATGGAACTATCGTTGGGGTCCTCTGAAGAATGTTTTTCCAAACTTCCTATTTATTTTCACAACTTGAAGATTCATAATCCTGGTACAATTGCCTATATACAAACAGATTTTGAAGATCGCTTCGAGTGTTGTTTTTATGCAATTGGGAGCATAGTAAATACAATGAATTTGTTCTTATTTAATATATACTAATTTGTAAAAAAATGCAGAGTGTTTACGTGTTTCATACAAATATATTATAGATACAAGTGTTGAAACGTTTTTGTCGTAAAGTCATAATTATGGATGATACCCATTTGAAGGGGGTTTTAAGGGAACCATATTGCATGCAGTAGCTATGCCCGTTGCGCATGAAATATGCAAAAAAAAAAAAAAAAAAAAAAAAAAGTGGCCTTACTTGGACAAGGTTTCTTGAAAAATTGTATGAATGCATTGGTGATTGTCAAGATTTGACATTTGTAACTGATAGAGCATGCAATTCGGATTAGTTTTGAAATTGTTTTCCCAAAAGCTCATCATGGAGAGTGTGCTTTTTATCTACTAGGAAACATAGTACACTGGTTTGGGAAAAATAATAAAACAAAAGTCTTGTTTTGGAGGCTTGTGAGAGCTTTCAAAAATAATGTATTTGAAAATTTGTGGTATAGATTTAGTTCTACTAGACCGCAAGTAGCGGCATACCTAAGTGAAATTTCACATGCTAAATGGGCTATAGTGTATTCCCTATCGAAACGATACGATTACATGACCGCCAACAGTGCAGAGTCCATGAATGCTTTATCCGTGGATGCAATGAAGATGCCTATAATACCCTTTCTTGAGTTCTTCCATCGTCTTTCACAGGAATGGTGTAACAAGCGTCGCATCGATGAAGTTATGACTTTAATTTGGACTTTAATTAGTTCGAATAATAATTATATTTATATATATATATATATATATATATATATATATATATATATATATATATATATATATATATATATATATATATTCTTTACAGGGAAACGTTCTATAATGCTAATGGAGTGGGCTGAAAAAGTAGTTAGAAAAAATGATGAGCGTATGATAGGATGATTCGTTTTAGGTGTTTCAGATGCAATATATCAAGTTCATGATTTCAACATCATAACATAGTTGATGAGGCAAGAGACTTGAACATGAAACTATTGGGAAGGAACTGGTTTGCCTTATGGTCATGTCATAATGGTCTTAAATCACTTGAAAAAAACATACTGAAGGAACTGGTTTGGCTATAGACATTTACAAAATGAAAACATACTGAAGTACGTATGAGGAGGCAGTTTAACCCCTTCCAGAACCGTGTGATTGGGAGCTTCCTGATGAGATGATGGTTGTTAATGTTGGATTAGGTGTCTAAGCCCATAACTATAATTGGTATGTATTTGACCCAATAGTTGCATGGTACATTTCGGGTTGCCTTCACCAAAACAATTTAATAGATGGATATTTGAATAAGAGGTTATTTATGATTTACTAATATATTATAAGTATAATATATTAATTGATGAATCATATTATTTAATTAGTATTGATCAAGAATTAATTTAGAATTAATTTAGTGATCAAAAGAGACTAAATAAATCGATACATATGGATTAGGCTAATGATCCGTGATCGATTTGTGATGGGTTAAGCTTATAGATTAGTCCATGAGATGTTAGTCCAAATCATATGCATGGATCATAAGCTTATGTGTATGGATTAGGGTTAGACATGACTCTTGGATTTCCACACATATAAATATGTTGTCATATGCACTAAAATCGATTACCAACTTGCATGCCAAGAAGAGAATCTGATTTTTAGTCTCCTGAGCCTCTCTCATATCCATTTAGTTGTTTATTGGTGTTTGTGACTTGTTTGAGGCACAGCACTTGGGGTGCTAAGTTCTCACAAGGCCAAATTCTTACTAATACATCAAAAGGTAATCTTCTAACATGTTTTATGATTCATATATGAAACTTTGTATGCTAGTCTAGGCTTCATGCTTTGGAACCAATGTTGCATGTATAATTAGATAAAACTTAGATCCTAAGCATTAGGGTTGTATGTGCACCATATGAATGTTAGAGTACATCAAACCTAAAAGTTAAACCCTCGATAATGGATACACGTCAAGCTGGTAGACCGAAAAACAAAAATCGTATCTCGTTACAAGGAGAGGAACCTATAGTAAGAAGGTGTAGTAGATGTGTCAGTACATCACATAATGTAGCGACTTGTTCGTTGTTGGTCCCAATGAAGGAAAAGAAGCCTAAAATAAGTAACACGGTGTTAGGTAGTAAAACAAAAGGGAAAGGTATGCAAGGGACGCGCGAGACGCAAGAGGCGCACAAGACGCAAGGGACGCAAAGAGAAGATTATTGTTTGACATTTGATTTAAATGATTGATGTTGTATTTATAATTAAGTATGTTATGTTACAGAAGACGTTGATTGTGTACTTTGATTACTCTATCAAGGAACATAACACAACTAAGGCTTACATAGAAAATACATTATTCAAACAATGAAAACACAATAAAAATACATATAGATAACCTAAAAACATAAGAATCGTACAACATTCTTTTACCAATTATTATGTAATGCCCTATTCCGAATCGATTCCTAATTCGAGGTTGTAGACTGGAGATCGATCATCATAAGGCTTAGAGCCTTTGAAAAGGTGAGATCTAGGCCCAATTGGGTACGAGTGTTGTAATTGAAGTGATCCGGGTGTTTGGTTCGTGTTTTTGGAGACAAGGGGTATTTAGGTAAAGTGTCAGATCAGGCTTTTATGGAGATTGGATTTTTTCCAGAAGGTCTTAAGGCTAGTATGAGTTGGTAGAATTGTAGGGCTTGTTGTTACCTTTTCGTGGATATAAGGATCGTCGGAAACGGACTTAAAACAAAAAAGATATAGCCTTCGGAAGTTTGGTGGTTTTAGGGTTTATCGGGTACGCGGGGATTACACAGGTGTACACGTAGCATACTTGTGAAAAGGGTGGTACATAGGGCATACCTCGACATACGATGGGCGTACTGGTCGGGATGGTTGTGGGTGCTCTATGGAGTACGCTAGGTGTACCATAAGTACGTAGGGCGTACTCTAGTCATACCCAAACCCTATTTTAGAGTCTTGGACCCTATTTAAGCTCGTTATCTCATAACCTAACCCTAATATCTTCAGCCACCATCCCTCTAAACCGTAGAAATTGACCATTAGCCCCCATTTGAGTGATTATTGAGCTTCAAAGTGATTTACGTGTATTTTTGGTGCTTGAAAAGGAAGAAGGAATTTCTTGAAGAGTCATTGCTTGACTTGGAGCTTTTGGATCCAGGATTTGTTCACATAGATCTAACTTTTGGAGGAATAAACTCTCAACCTTGAAAACTCTTTCTTGTAGATCTAGCTAGGTGGCACTTTGTTATGATTTTGGTTCCTTTGTGTTGGTTCTTGTGAGTAGAAGTTACCCCAAAACCTTTGAGCTTAATATTTGGTCCTTGTTGGGGTTATGGAGTCATAAAGTGTGGATCTTGATGAGTATAAACCTTCCATGCATGATTTGGTAGTCTTTTGGTGAAGCTTGGGACTTAGGAGTTTGATTTGGGTTCCATTAAGTCATTCTAAGTCATAAAGTCAGGAACTATATGACTTAAGATGTCCCTTTGAATCAGATCTGGAAGTTTAGTCTAAGGTCTTAAGGTATTAAGAAGTTTTTAAGACATTTTAGAGTGATTTTGACCCTTGGAGTTCATCTTTGGTGTTGGGCTTCATTAATCCATGCAAAGGTTTCAAGCCTTTGACTTTATGGATCAAATCACTTATATTTAGCTATTCTGAGGTTTTTGATGTCTTGGCTTAAGGGATTAAGACGTTTTCTAGGTTGGTTGTGGGCAGGGTCAGTACGCGGGGCATAGCTACTCGTATGCGGGGGCGTACTGGGTTTCTTGGGCGTACACTTAACGTACCCACTAAGTAAGCGGGGCGAACTCAGTCACATGAGATTTCGCATTTTGAGCTTCAAGTTTGGGCTTTCTTTTGTGCTTGGGTGTTGACTTATTAATGGGCCATCTGAGTACAAGTGTTTTGGACTAGGAAGAATAGTTAAGCTTTAGGTTAATGCCTATGTAAGGGATTTCGGCCCAATTTGGAAAATTGGGCCATATCTGGGCCTTCATATATTATTTGGCCTTTAGGCCTTTCAAATTGAGAGTTTGGGCCATAGTCTTCGAACAAGCTAGGTTAGGGGTAAAATGGTCTTTTAACCCCAAGTATGGATTTATGGTTATGGATTGGAACCCAATTGCTGATTGGGTGTTGTTGTGACTTTGATAGTTCGAGGATCTATCAGCCAGCAACTAGGGATTTTCTATTTGATTTGGTAGTGCGAGGTTAGTCTTATCACTATATCCATGGGTCGAAGCCA